CTTCGGAAAGCCGTCGTCGTCGGAGATGACGAAGGGGAAGGAGGTAAAGGCCCTCACGGAGGTGAAGGGAAACACAAGGACGCTAGCTATGGTGCTGCGGAGTGAGAGGGAGCTGTTGAATATGAACAAGGAGATGGAGACGGAGATTTCCAAGCTGAAATTAATGCTTGAGGAGAAGAATAAAGAAGTGAGTTGCGTTTTACTTTGTCTTGTCTTTTCTTGTGTTAAAGCTGTGAAATAGCCTTTGTTATTACCATGCCCTTATTTGACTGAAGAGTGGGGGGGGGGGGGGGACAAAGACAAAGAAAGAAATCTGGAGATTCAAACTTACTTAGATGAGGAGCTAATTTTGGGCCTTTAGTTGCAATATAGCTAGCTTAATTTTGGTTTGACTTATTCCCCAACTGAAAGCCAAATCGAATTGACTTTAATTGTTCAATCATTGTTTGAGGGTTTAGTTTGATTAGATAACGGACTTTGAACAGTCCTTAATTAAAGTAGCTAAAAAGTGTGCTTAGTTTTGCAACCGAAACTGTAGAAGTTAGTTACTCTTCGGAGTCATCATACTTGAAGCAGCTAGAGGTCTCTAAGACTGACAAGTCATATTTCTATTCTCTTATAAAGTCACTCCTTGATTGAAATTTCAGGTGGAGAAGTTGAAGGATTTGTGTTTGAATCAAAGAGAAGAAATCAAGTCCCTTAAAAGTGCTATTCTCTTCCCTGATGTGATGAATTCTCAGCTCCAAGAACTTCTAGAGCAGCAAGGCTCTGAGTTGACGCAGGCAAAACAGGTCATTCCAGCTCTACAAAAGCAAGTCTCTTCTCTCACTGGTCAGCTCCAAAGCCTAGCAGAGGATCTCGCAGAGGTATACTTTCATTTGGATCCTTTTATAGACTCAACAAATTCTGCAATCATGCTTCTAAAATGCAAAAACTTCTAAGTTCTAACAATCTGTTAGGATTGCTTTTAGAAAACTAGGAAATACATGTAAAGGGAAAAGATGCTTTTGTGGATCAGAACTTTGACTTCCTATTTTCGAGAAAGAAGTAGAAAAGTAGGGCTGCTATAGGGTGACTATGGTCAAGGCTATGAGAGGGTTGTTTCGGAGAATGGGAAAGTCACTTTTTGGGATCTATAAATCGTCCTCTTGTGTTCAGCAGGGGTGTGGAGAATTTCGTATTGAACTTGGCTCTTGTGGGAAGGAGAGAGCCAACCACTCGAAAGTTCGGCAAGTCTGTTAGTTGGATGTAGTGTATCCTAACTGTGGTTTGTGGCTTATGTCTTTGTTTATTGTTTCTGTGCCTGTGGTGTAGTCTTAAGTTGTAGCTGTTATCCTCCCTTCACTGTGTAACAGAGTAGTGTTTGTTCTGTAATGAGTTTTTAGCTTTTGTTTGTATCTTCGTGTGTAATCTGTTTTATTATAGTAAAAGTTTAGAGTTTCTGGGTTGGGTCTTATCACAATCTTAACACATGTTGCAATGGCTATATCATATCCTAACAAGCATTTATGTTAGCATACTTTTACCATGAAGAGCTTTGATGTTCTACTTCAGGATTGGACTTTGAAATTTACTTGCATTGATATTTAATCTATCAGCTTGCTCGCCATTGTGATGAAAACATATTTTCGGTGTTCCTTTAAACTATAGGTATTGCTATTTCTTTATAAACTTGGCTATCGTCAGGTATTAGACACTCGCACTTAAGTTCATATGAGGTTGTATCTTGCATTTACGTTCGCATTTTTTTTTTTTAAAAAAAAAAAGAGCATAGAGAGCTTAAATGATCTATTGCAGATTGAACATTGAAATCTTCTTCCACTCGGATTTGATCTATCAGTCTGCATTCCATTGAGATGAAAACGAGACATTTTCGGTGTTGGTTAAACTATTGATATTGCTATTTCTTCCTGAACTTGTAAGAACGAATTCGTACATTTCAGACACTTGAGCCGAAGGAATTGGAATCATTATTGCTTTTTTTTCTTGTATAGGTTAAGGCTGATAAGCGTGCAAAATCACGTTTGCAAGATCATGAAAGTTCTCCAAGAACACCAACAAACGCTGCTATTAACTCTTGGGTGAGTTTGCTGAACAGTGTATATTATTTACATATTAAATGTCACTCACAGGAAATAGAGTAGCGAAATTTTTTTTTTAAGTGACTATAAGTAGAGTCATATGTCTAACACGAACATTCAACACAAATCCATCAATGATGCAATTTTTTATTAAAGTGTTCTGCTTCGTAATTTACAACTATTGCTCACTATAGTGGTTCTAAAGATTCAACACATACTGCAATAATAAAATCTAAAGAAATATTTTGTTTAATCCTTTTGGCATTTTATGCAGGAACTCAGCTCTGATGATTTGACAATCCCAGGAAGTCCAGATGACTTGTTACTGAAGGATCTAAATCCTTGTTTAACACCCCGCAATGCAAAGTCAAAATCTAGGGTATAAAACTCTTGTTGATTTGTGAAATCACTGCAGCTATTCATTTTCTGATTTCTCTTTTTCTATCTTGCGTATAAGGTTTCTAAGTACTTGGAAATTAAACTTCCCTTGCACTATGTAGCAGAACTATATTCTTTCATCTTCATTACTTGCCAGTTTCTCATTAAATGTTTTTATCCTACAGGAATTTGAGTGTACAGGTTCAGGATCTTTAAATGATGAAAGCTTCTCTGAAGATGATGAGATTCAAGTATATCCTATGACAGACTTTAATGGTTATGGTAGGAAGCTATCCAAAAGCTCTGATTGTGGCCAGAATTACAGCCAAAAAGACATGACAACAAAAGCTAGCCGAAGATCCGATGAGAGCAAATCAACCTACGGAAACCGCATGAATCATCACAAACTACTAATATAAATTGTCCTAGTTTCAAGTTTTTATTGAGATTTCTCTCATTCATTCCTTGTCGTCATCATCTACGAGTTGTCAGTGTATTTCAGAAGCGGCAGACTCAAAATGTAAAAGTAAATTATTCCTTCTTGCGTATATGGTGGGCATATAAGGACAAGAATAAGACCACATAAGCAATAATAAATCCCAATATAGCTTCCAACTTAGAACATGATGCTTACCGTTAGAGTTGGTAATATGGGTTGAACTCGCGGGTTTAACCTATCAACCTGTCAAAAATAACGGGTTAGGGTTGGCTAAAAGTCAATCCGTCAGTAAACGAATCTTTTTAACCCGTATTGCCAGGTTTGCAACCCGTTACGGGTTAGCCTGTCAACCCACGGGCTAACCTGTATATTTTTTTTTATTTTTAAAATTTTTAAAAATTATTATAATTGTATTATTATATATGATATTATATATATAAAATTAAAAAAAATACCTATATAATTTATTTTGTATTTCCAATCAAATATTTCAAAAAAAAAATAAAAATATCATTATATTTTTTTAAGTAATGAATAAAAAAATAATATTAAAATATTAAAAAAAAATTAAAAAAAACAGTAAATAACTGTTGGCGGGTTAGGGTTGGTTAAAAGCCAATCCGCCTTCAAACGACGCTTTTCAACCCGACCCATATGGGTTGAATCCATCACGAGCCAACCTGCAGGTTGGCCCGTATTACCACCCTTACTTATTGCGACCTACAAATTTAGAAAATGATATTTTTTTTATCTTTAATATAAGACTCATTTAACTAATTTGATTAGATTAAAAAAATTAGGTAAATTAGTTAATTATAAGAAAAATGACATATTTTTTCTAAAATATTATAATAATATTTCTTAATATTTTTTTTTTATTTGATTATGATTAAGGGAGTATTCATAAGAATAATTTAAAAAAAATTGATAAATATGAAAAATGGGTTTTATATTTAAAACTAAAACCAACTTAAAAACTGGGTTTTATATTAAGGATCGGAGGAGTATCTCATTTGAATTTCAGTCGTATTGACTTGTCTTTCAGTATTACTATATGTAAAATTTAAATATAATATAATGCTTGAAAATTCCTCTGTAAAGTAATTTGGGCTCTCTTTATTTTTGTTCTCAAAATCCAAAATTGTTTATTCAAATTTTGTTCCGTTCATTATGGAAGAAAACTATATGACCAGTTGCGATGATGCTCTTCGGCCAAATAATAAGCATTGCCCATAGAAGCCCTTCAATATAATACATACTAGATGATCATATAAAAATGACAATTTGGAACTAAGAAGGTTGTTGGATTAGCTTTTTTCTTCTTCTAATAAGTGATTTAACAGTATATAAAAGAGGTATGTAAGAAAAAGTGTCTCAATTTATGTGGAATTTTTTTTTCCAAGTGGTTTTATATCTTACCAAACATTTGATAAGGATATATTACTTTCGGTATTTGATATATGAACTAAATAATCAATTTATTAATATTAACAAAATTAGTTATGTTAATTATTTATAATAAATTTGTTATGATTTCTCTAAATCATCTTTAATCATCTACCCTTGAAGTATTCCTTGATTAGGAGTTTTTTAATATATACATACTTTGGGCAACAATTATAAATTTGAGAGAAAAAGTATATTGAAATGTTATATCTAGAATAAAAGATAATATTTGAATAAAAAGGAAAAAAAAGGGAAAATGTGTGTAATTTCTCCTCATCCCTAGTTGAAGAAAATATACACATACACAGTTACACACTAATTTTATATTTTACTATTAAATTCAATTGAAACACATCAAGTATCCATTTCATCAGGACTAAATTTCATATCATGTGATGTCTGGTCAAAAAAAAAAATCATGTGATGAAAACTAGGCTCTTGTATGAACTCAATAATGCATATATTGACATCATATATAAATCATCAAACATAAACAAAGTTGCAGTGTTCACAAGTAGTGATCAATGCGACCTATTTTTTAAACTATTTAGTTGGACTATTATAATAGTAAAGATGTTGCCATGGTGATTCAATGGAAATAAGATACTCTTGCAGATACAAATTTATAAGCCATAGTCTTCTAGACTCCTCAGTGCTCATGCCATTCCCCGACTCTTAACAGTCCTAATGATCTGAAACAGAGCTGCCAAACATGAAAAAAGAGAGAGCTCGTAAATTCTTGTATTAATACAAGTTCATCAGCCAAAATGAATATATATATCCAATATATTTTAGAGATATAAAGAGAAAAGAGTATTAAGTGTAATGAGAGAAAATGAGAGGGGACAAAATATATAGGAAAGAGCATACAGGAACCGACGACCACAAAAATAATGAAGGCAAGAACAATAGGGCCCACAGGGTATCCTTTCTTGGACGAGGATTTCTTTAAACTGTTCCTCTCAAACCTTGCAACTTTCCTGTCAGCTACACGTCTTGAAGTAGTCTGTGAAAGGTTAAAATCTCAGTTACAATGTACACAACAAAATTAGACAAGTAAATTCTAATTCTATAAAGAATTTTAGAGTTCTTCTGTCATGAGATTTACCCATTTGGCTGAAAGATTGAGAAGGGAATAGATAGACAAGTGGGATTTGGTAGGCCATCCTTGTAAATAGGTCCCACTCCTCTGTTTCTATTTCTCTGTTACAAAGGGCTGACAATTTTTGATTGGCCTGCCTATTAATTCGCTAACCAATTAGCTTTTCAATAGTAATTTATGAAATACGAGGTAAATATGTGAGATGAGTTTTTTCTCAACTTACGTAAAACGTGTTTATAAGAAATTTTTACCATGATCCCAAACAGGCACTATGTTGGTTTAGAATTAATGAAGTAATTGATCGATGAACCAATTAATTTAATAGATCAGAATTTATTTTTAAAATTTTGAAATTCAAAATATGACATTCAAGAGAAGCATGTCTTCCTTGACTCAATTGCGCTACTTCTTGAAAAAACTGAGTAATTGTTCCCTTAATTTCTTATTTCTTGAAAAGGGAACATTTTTATTTTAAAAAATAATTATTTTTTAATTTGAAAGATAAAATAGTAGTGAAGTAAATTTTATCAAAACACTGCTCCATAATTTACTTCTCTAGTCATAAGGGAAGTGTGAACTTCAATTTCTCACTTTTAATGAACCAAACAAGATAGATTTCTATACTTCTCAAAAAGTCTAATTTCTCCTTCCCACATATTTCCAACAGGCACCCCCCAGAAAACCCATGTAATAGAACTTTCCCATTCAATTTTTTCTCACTCCCTCTGGTTCCATGCCATCTTTTGAGGAGATCAAGGAATTTTGCAAACCAGTGATGCAATTTTCTACACTGAACTTTATTATCAGAGGTCAATTCAAAACGAAGGTGGCAAAAAGTTCAAGAAGATACACAGACAAAAGCCAATAGCCTCTCAACCAAAAAGGTAAATAATTTCATCTACTGCTGCAAATTTCTATAAAGAGGATACAAATACTTAAATGGCTCCCACAAATTCAGGTGGAACCCAAGCTATTTGTCCAAATTAACCTCCTCAAATTTCAAGAGAAATTTGAACCAAAAAAATTTATTCTGGGAGAGATCCAGGGATGCCAAAAAACTAACAGCTATCCATAATGATTTCGCAGACAAAAACAGTTGAAACTTGGGACAAAATCCAATGACCCCACAAAACATTTTCGTCTAGAGTAATTCAGACATTTACTTTCAATGACAGATATATCAGTTACTTCCATGAAAGACTAAACCATTAAGGCTTAAGGGCTGTGGCTTATCAGCATCATTGAATTGCAAGAGGACAAGGTCAAAACCTTCATAGTTTCTGGTATAGCAATTACTTTCAAGGCCAAACATGAAAAGAAATGACTGAAAGGATCCATCTGGAAATCGTGAAGTATTTCTGTACACAAACTTATATACTATGAAAGCAAATGAACACAGAGAGGATGGGGAAAGCAAATAAAGAGGGAAAGTAAGCATTAGCAGCAAAACTTAACAGTTAACTTATTCAACAAGAAGACACATAAATATCATTTAAAAAACACACTTTGATGTTCACAAAGAAAGAATCATTTCACGCAGAATTCTAATTCTCCACAAGCATGGAAGAAAATGCAGATTAGATGGAACAGTTTACAGTTGCTTTTACCCCGAAAAGTGAAGATCCTGGGTTTCGAACAGAATAAAATAGCTGAAATGGGTAATTTTAAGACGAAGGCTTTGAATAGGCACAAGCACACAAACAAAAAAATGAAGTTTAGAAGCAAACACAGATGAAGGAGAAATAAAGTCAAAGCACCTACATTTATTTAGAGAGGAAAAAAAAAAGGCAAACAGACATTGTTTTATAGAAGGAACAAAAAAGTACAGACTAAGGAGAATCAGCCCATTATAAAAGATCATCGCAGTGACTGATTAATCAAAAGAAGACGAAGAATCAAGCAGAAAAGGTGATAACTTTACCATTGTCGAGACCAGGGAAGGAACACGAACTCCTTTTCAGCTTCAATGGCGATGAAGGAGGAAAACAAACGGAGGCACGACGCAGATTGTTTTTCTCTCAGACCAACCGCGCCACTTGTTTTATACGGAGAAAATAAATGTGACGCGATGTCAAAACGAGGTCGTTTCTTATTTGGTACGTAATTTCTGATGGATTTTGCCAACCAATCCTGTCCTGAATAAAAAGTTAAAAACTTTAATTTTTGTTTCCCACCTTGGTTAGAGTTTTATTTTTGACAAAATTGCATTTAATGACCACATCATGAAACATTTATTATAAAAGATTTCATCATAGAAAAAATTATTGGAGATATACTCATTTATTGACAATGAAATTCAGATTTTTTAACACTCCCAGGTTGCAACACTTTTAAATAATTTAATTTAGATTTTAGCAATGTTTTATTAGGTTAAATTATACAAAATACCCTGAGCTATGTGTAAATACTAAATAAATTCCTAAAGGTCTAAAACTTGGCCAAAAGAATTCTAAATTCTCAGGCTTTTAGAAATAATCTATTTATTATTAAGTACTCTATTATTTCATTAATCCAAAGCCACAGGTTATGAGTCCTTTTTTTTGGGTTTTATGTAGAAGATTCTTAAATTTTAAGTTATATAAAAATAATTTCTTTATGGAGTAACATACATTTTAGTAAAGTACATGGAGGCAGTGAATTGTCTGCGGAGTAATTTAAAAAATTTTCTTATAGGAAAAACAACTCATTATAATTTTACTTAATTTTTATAAATACTTATTGTTTTATTAGATTTTTAATCAGGTATCTAGTTTTAAAGGACTAAAGGCAAAAAATTATAAAATTATGAGTAAAAATTAAATGATACTATAAAAACTAAATAAAAAAAATAAAGACTTTATGTAAATTAATTTTCTTACGAAATGGATAAGTTTTATAGCATTACAGGTGTCAATGTAATGATGACTTTTTTCTTCTTTTGACCATCCAATGTAATGATGACTAAGTTTTTGAAATATAAAAAAGTGATCAATAAGTTTGACTAATGATTTAATTATAAGCAATATAATATAATAAGATAGAATTGCAATTAAGTCCCATTCAAGGAAATTGAATATAAAAAGGTCTCTTGAAATCATGAAATTATTCTGAAATCTCAAGGGACTTTTTTACAATAAATTTTATTTGTTTAATTATCAAATTACCCTTCTTCTTTTTTTAAAATTTGTATTGACAATTGAAAAAGCAGTAGTTGACAACTCAGGGTGCAAGGATTGACAACTATCGCGGCTGGTTTGACAACACATTTTCTCAGCATATCACACCATAAGTTGTCAAACCAGCTGTGATAGTTGTCAATCATTGCGCCCTGAGTTATCAACCACTGCTCTTTCAGTTGTCAATGCAAACTTAAAAAAAAAAAAGAAGGATAATTTGGTAAGTAAATAAATAAAATTTAATGCAAAAAAAGTTTGAAACTTTAAAATAATTTCATGATTTCAAGGGACCTTTTTATATTTAATTCTCTTGAGTGGGATCTAATTGTTATTTTCCCATATAATAATCAGTCCCTACAAGAAGCTTCAATGCCAACAGTCAACAGATACGGTTTCATATCAGAATGTTTCCTGATAACGCCTTCAGAAGAAAAGCAGAGAACTATATAATTTAGAACTTGCTTTATCAATTTAGTAAAACGGTGAAAAACCAATTCTATATAATTTATAAAATTATAATTTGTAATAAAGAATTACTCTTTGATTTGGGAAATGAACATTTCATTGTAAGTAGATCTTTTGTGCATCATATTTATCTTATCGCACTTACATTTTATCGATAATGTTAAGTTCGTGTTTGTTTGAAAATGCCAAAATCTTTTAAAAATAATTTTATTAAACTCCGATTACACACACACATTGAACACTTTACTTTGCTCCTTCCCATTTCTATCTATTTTATATATCTGTTATTTCTTTTCAACAAAATATCCTTAATTAATGCTTATATTTGAATCTACTGAAAAGCCGTTAGTTAAGATATCTCATTAAATATTAAAGATAATTGTAAGAGAATAAAACAAGGTGTTAACATATTTGGTATTAATAACTAATTTAATTAATTTTTTAGTTCTTAAAAATTAGTTAAAAGTATCTTGTAAATTAATTTTCTTACTTCCTATAAATTAGCTAAAAGTATCTTGTATAAAAAGTAGAAACAAAGGAAGCATATTAGCGGTTTGGAACCTCTCCGTCTTTTTTTAATAGACAATTTGAATCATATTATTATTAATTATAATGTTCTCTTTTTATGCTAAAGTTCGGACCCAAAGAATAGAAGCATACTCAAAAAATAAAAGAAGTTATTTTTAATCAGATATGATTTTTCAATCTGAGTATTGTTCTTAATTTTTTACCAGTGCTTTTATTGTAAATTAATTATTGTTGTTAATTTACTTTATTAGAAAATAAGATGGGTATGCATTATTTTATTAGTTTGGAACAACAGCATCTTCAATGAAAAATGGGTCCAAAAATGGTATCCTTAACTATCTATAGTACTAAAAAATGAGTCTATTTCACAACGTAATGAATTAAGATTGAATTCGTGTTGAGAGAGGTATTCATATTTAGTGCTCAATAGTATCTCAAACATGATTATCTCCCATAAAAGAATACCTGTCCCTAGAGGGGAAAAAAAGGGTCTATTGAAATCTAATTCATCATGCGGTTATAAGCAACCATGCTTCTTCTATTGTTTGACTGTGGATGTAAGGGTTAGAAGGCCATAAAAGCTCTGTTATAAATGGAAAATTACGGATTCGATCCTATTTATAATCTCATGTTGTTAGTGGCTGTTAATTTGTTACATTAGGAATAAGAATAATAGAAATCTTCATTCTTTGCGACTCCTTTTTTTTTTTGGTCATGAATAAAGGTAGTTTTGCACATGATGCATAAATTAAAGTTCTATTATCATGCATGTTTCAGAGAATGGCAAGTAGGAAATGTATCTTCCTTCTGTAACTTCACTAATCACTGATGACAGTAAGGAGATCCAAACTCTGATATTGATATTAGCACAAATCTCCATTATTACATTCACAAACTAATTAATTACCATCATATCAATTTTGAAGAAAACATTAAGAGAATGAAAGGGTAGGTCAGAAAACTAGATCCATGATCAAATCCCCGACCTAGCAACCTGCATTTTGGTTGGGCCTTTGTGACGACCACCATACATACGAAACAGTGAGAAAGCAGAAACACAAGAGAGAACCACCATACTCATGCTAACCACTAAAGCACAAGCCATCCCTTCTCCCACTTGCTTGCAAAATTTTCCATACATGTTGCATACTCTCATCCACTGTAACTCTGCTTGCCCCTCCTTAGCAAAGACCGCCGATTGAGCTGCAGCCACCGCAGCCGCCACCATCATATATGCAATTATCTGCATAAATACCATTCATGCTATGTAGTTCTGGCTTAAGGACAAAGTTCATAACTCTTGGCTGGTTCTGACTTTTTGTCTTTGTGTATTAATGTCATGTTGCATTGAAAGTTAATTAGACCCCACTCTTATTATGGGTTTCCCTTAATTAGTAGTACTAGTTTGAAATGGACCTGAGTCATTCTTGGTCAAGGCAATGTAGTGTTATAGCCAATGAGCCGGAATCTGAGATTGTGAGCCTTGCATCATTGCATATTATCAAGACTAATGAAATGCTTTTTGATACTTTACTGCTTTGTTCAGTTTCTGGTTTCTGACACAATTTTGTTGCCTTTCTGGTTTCATTGATTCTATGTTGAGCTCTTGGCGTTTGTTACTGACTCGTGGTTGTTGTTCTTGCCGATATAAATGAAATTACACAGTTTCTATGCCAAAAAGAAAATGGCCTCATAGAATATTTACCTGATCAGCAGAGAAAATGAGCCAAGCTATGGGCTTGCTGATGAGCACGCTTCCTCTGATCATACTCACAACACAACGCAACCCTTGGATTAACGAGTAGACAGCAGCTATCGTATTGGCCACCACGAAGAAACTGCAAAATGGGATTCAATGTCAGGATACACACACACACACACTCATTTTTAAAAGAACATAAACCAGAAAGAAAGGAGATCAGAATAATAGTTGTATGGTTTTGATGAAGAAGAGCTTACACTAAGGACTTCATGTCTGTGAACTTGGCTTTCTTCTCAACAGAGAAGACTTGTTTGAGCTGAGTATCTGTGGCCACAAGAACAGCTGCAAGAAATCCCAGACACAGAACCACACACCTCAGAACCAGCTCAGTGATTTTGATGCTTCTATCCAATTCTGATGTGTTTGTGGTATGGCACATTGGGATAGTTCCAGGACTCACACTCATATTCCTCATTTTTGTGTTCTCTTAGAAATAAGAACGGCGACAGAACCAGAGAGAGATAGATGAGAGCTTTTCAAACCTGTTAGCTATCAACAGAACTAAACACAACACCCACCACCATGAGCTCCACTCACACCTCTATATATAGATCAGTTAAATATTAAAATAATATTATAAACTAGCTAGCTAGATCAATCAATCATAAATATAAATTCGTAAAGTGAATTTGATATCAGGCCGACAAAAATATTGTGAAGAAATGTATATCCCACTTGTTCATGTATTTATGTTCAATTAGTTTGATATATTAAAAATAATTTTCTTAAAAGAATATTTAGATGTCTAGGGAAGGATAATATGTCAACCCCGAACTCATTTGGTATGCCATTTAGTATTTCATCTCGTCCATATCATGCCATTGGGTTTGCTCACACAATATTTTTTCCCCCTTAAAAATATACTAGTTTCGATTCTTAATATAAGACCTAGTTAATTAATTTAAAAAGGTTAAGAAAGTTACTTTACTTAATTATAATATATATTACATTATCTTTCTAAAATACTTATATGGATTATTAAATCACATATTAATTTATAAGTGAAACAAATTAGTATGAAGAAAAATGATAAATATAAGTAGTTGAAAATAATTTAGTAATTTTTTTAATTTTTTAAATTAGTTAATTGAATCTTATATTAATTAACAAAAATAGTAGTTTATAGAGTCATTGAATTCATAAATTGTATAGTGAGTTTATACCTTTCTGAATTAATTCTCGAACTCATTGGCCAATTTATATTTAATTTAAAATATATTTTTTTAAAAAGAGAAAATTAATATTTTTATCATTTAAATATATGGGCCATGAGATGAGACCACATGTTGCTGGACACAATATGTTTTTAGTTCCCCAATGTTGGTACGGTATATGATATTTCCCTTTTTGCCAGCGGTATGTGTATGTATATCATCATATCTCCAACCATTCTTCCATAATATATCGTATGCTCATATAAATAAATTTTGGATCATCTATATTTTCTGTAATACTCATCTCAATTCAGATATAATTTAATATAAACAGGATATAATTAAAACAATGAATTCTAGACAAATTCTTCTACGCATTTGGCATTTGAGGCAAGTCATATAATGTTCAAAACCTATTAATAATATAACTTCCAATAAATATTATATTTTATATGAGCCAAAGTAGTAAAAATTTGCTGGTGACATTGAATTTTTTTTAAAATAATATATTATTATATTCCAAAACAGAATGATGAAAATATAAGTATGTGAAATTTTATATTCCATTTCATAGAGGAATCATTTTCGTAACTTTTGTGAATATAAATATAAATTAATTATATTTATAATTAATAACGAAATGAAAATTGATGCAAGGAGAGTGGAAGGGGAGAGATAAAGTGAGAATGAAGGAGGTGACTGAGGCCATACTGTGTAGAAAGCTGGGAGGAATGGATGGTGGCCTGATGAGCCATTAACTAATTTATGTCTCAGCATCAACATTTATGGGGCTGCTTCATTCCATCCCCTAGGACCAAAAATGTGGCTCTTAGGGCTCCTTCAGGGCTCTCCTACAACTACAAGAATCAGCATCTAGATGCACCTAGAATCCAAGACAATTTCAGGACATGTGGTGTTCAATCTAGATAATACTAGTACTGATCCTTAATACTACCCCCCGTCCTTAATATAAGATCCTGTTTAACTTTTATTTTGATCCTAAATATAAGATCCCAATCTATTTTGTCTATCATATTTATACTTTTTTTTTTCCAAAGTAGCCTTTCTAACAATAACAGTTCTAGTCAATATACTTGATCAGTAAGAATATTTTAGGAAAGATAACACCTCTTTAGGACAAATAACTAACTCAACTTACTTTCTTAATCTCCTCAAATAAGTCAACTGGCTTTTATAATTAGGATCAGAGGTAGTATAAGATCTAATTGAAAATTTGATTTGGTTCTAAATATAATATATCAATCTATTTTATCTTCTAAATTTATAATTTACTCTCTAAAGTATTCCTATAGATTACACATATTTAGGATAATGATAATTAAAAAGTGTACTTTATGAAAATTAATTTATATTTGTGACAAATAACTAACTTAACTATTTTCTTTAATTATGAAGTACCAAAGGTAATCAAAAATTAAACAAATCATTGTTGTCAATCATTTTACTAAAGATGCAGCAACAACATGCTTTATCTTATTAGGTGCGATTAGTTATAGAGACTATTAAATGTTATCCTACTCTAATCAATAACCAAATATTTGTATATATTATTAACTAAAAGTTTTTATTCAATATTTTTCTTTTTAGTCTTTCTTTCTCTCTTTTTCAGAGAATTTTAATTATACTCTCTGATCTACCCTTCCCATAACGTCTCCAACCGTTTCCTTCAGATTGAATACTAGAGGTGGCATATTTTAATAGACTATAAGAAATCATGTTTGGAATATTAGAGATTAGATTGATAGAGATTAAAATATCACTATGGATCATGTCTATAAAAAGTTGATGAATGTGCCAACTGGTTTGCCAAATCCGTTCAAGACAGTGATGGTGATATTTTATACTTCCCTTACTCCTTTAATTGTAAGAAATTAGAGGAGTTGGATAAATTGAAGATCTAACTATTATTTTCATATGAGCTCGCCTATAGCCTTTTATTTTAAAAATGAAAATAAATATAAAAATGAAAAATGGAGAAAGATTATTCCCTTCATCTTTCTTCCAAATAACACCTCTCAATCCCTGTATGTTACAGAGTTTAAGATCGAAATTGGTGTGATTCATATCGGATACATTTTGCACTCAATCATAATAATAAAAGTTTCACAGAAAGTGCTTCCTCATGTCCTACCTACCCAACACTCATAGTTCTAACTACCCAAAAAGCAAAGGCGAGAATGAAAGAAAAGAGATATTTATTTAAATGTAAATCAATATAAAAATTTATGATTTGAACACCAATACACACATCTTGGATTAACCTCATCAGAATCAGTGGTTGAAGTCCTCTAGTTTCTTCCCTATTTATTCATAATATCAAATACCTGAGACCCAAAAGCAGTGTATCATCTTCTTCTCTCTTAATCTCTCAATGGGTTTTGTTCAGTGTCTCTTCATACTTGTTTTCCTTTCTGGGTTCACAAAGTCACAGAGCCTTCATCCCATGAACCAGACAGACATAGAGGCAGCAACAGAAGCCATGAGATCAAAATCATACCACGGATTCGCCATGCTTTTGAAGATGTTGAATGCGACATCACAGGCAAATCAAGAGCTGATTTTCTTCATGCCAGATGACAGAGAACTTTCAGCATCCTCCATTGCAGCAGATAGAATTGAGGAGTTCTTGTTGAGCCACGCCATGCCAATGCCTTTGTATTTCAGTGACTTGATTCATTTCCCTACCGGCACGCTTGTTCCTTCTGGGATAAGGAACAAGATGATGAGAATCCATAACCGTGGGAGGGGAGATTTCTTCCTCAATAATGCACAAGTCACCACTGCTAACATTTGCTTGAGTTCTTTGATCAAATGCCATGGCATTGATGCTATAATTAACTACGATTCTTGATTCCAGAACTATATGATTATGAGCATCTTGGAGGTGCAATGCAAGCCTGGTCGAAATAAAGCCATTATTGCTCTTTAATTTATGCTTTTTTTCTTCAAGTACTTATATCATATGTGTTTGCTGTTGTATGTTGAGCTAAAAGCTACTCTCACTAGTGTGATACTATTTGTTATAATGTAAGCATTTATCTTCGAGTTAGTAGCATTAGACTTTTGTTGATCATTCGGTTGAAAAACTACCAAATTGATTAAGTGGTTATTGGGTAAGACTTAACCCCCCAAAGAACAAAGTAAGTGCCAAGTACCATAGATCCAACAAACGAGAAGTTGATGAACATAATCAACTTTTATTTGAAGAGAAGTTCAGAGACTTGTAAAACTTAAACATGAAATGAGAGTATAATGGATTTTAGTTGATTTTGAGATGTTCTACGTTGAACGGAGCTGGATTAAAGAAAAGGTAACCGCATACATGAATCCTCTCCTTGTCTAGGAAAATCTCCCCCAATATATAATGCTTTCTTGGGCCCAACAAGTAATATCAAATCTGGATTCCAGCAAGACTCATCCACAAGCCCAAGTTCAGCTATTGATCAGACACAGCTCCCAGGTATATGGGAGTTTGCTTTAGCCAACCACGTGCATGGCGGTAATTTGAATAAGAGAAATATGTAAAATGTTTCTGAATAGAAGAGTGAGGCATTGAATAGAAGCATATGTAGAATTACTTTTTCTTTATTTTTATTCCCTTTTCCAAGGCACGTTTTTTTACTACTGTAAGTGATCTTTTATGGAAAAGCACTTAGCTTGGTAGTCCCCAATGAGAGCCAGAATAGTGCATATAGGATCGATGCTCCTCATATTCACTTGAGAAATATGACAGCAAAGAGAACTGTCAATTTTAGAGGACATCTGCTGAAATATCTCAACATCTGCTATATTCTCCATTAATGTTCCAAAATCTTAACAACAATAACTAGTAGCTACAGATAGCTAGGGATAACTAAACTTGATGACAAACATGCTCATATATATTCATGCCACCTTGGTGGCCAATGTATTACCATTTTTTTAACATCAAAAGAGTTTGAACACTGGACATTACCCATAGCTCATCCCATTCTTGCAATTGAACTTAACTCATGTATCAGAATGACCCGTTTGGATCTACATTAGCCAGCAACAGATTCCTTCCTTTTTTTTCTTGCCCTTTTTGGTAATGCAATCAAGACAATACCTGGATAAACATTTTTCCAATCGCCGAGATATATATTTATACATGCCGTTTTATAGATGAAGAGAAGTATCAACACCAGAATCAGAGCCACAATCATAAACGTTGTTCCAAGGAGCCTCCGGAGACTGTGTTTGAGAATAACTATTAGTTGACATGTTGGCTGAGGTACCAAAGCTGGGGTGGAACTCTTGCTTGTCCTCTGATGGAGGCCAAAGTGTGAGAGAAACATGGGGAGGTGACCTTGAACTCGAAGGAGTAACAAAAGAGCTTGAAGTTTCGTGAGTGTTAACGTTGGAAGGAGTGAGAATTTTGAGGAGCTGTCTCTCCTCCCTCATCTCTTTCTTTCTCTGCAACTCTCTGAACCTCTCTTGCAGAAGAGCAGCTGTGGAGCGAGCCTTAGTGGCCTCATGCCTTTCCCTGCTTCCCATGATTTTGAGCCTTGAGGTAAGAGTTTTTTGCTTAGTTTTTTCCCCAGTGGGGTTAAGGCCATCGTCAAGAATTTATAGATGAACAGAGAATGTTGTTGTCAAACCAGAAAAATTTGAAGCAGAAAGAGAATCGGCAGAGTCCAAGAAGAAGGTGTTGATTGCCCAATCTAACAGAGCTGTTCATACTTCTTGGACCCTTGCGTGAATGTTGGAGGGGAAAGGCATGATTACATTATGATCATTTGCTAAACGACTAAGAGGCTCACCTTTTATATATTGTGGCCATTGAATCTCCAATAAATGTTTAAAAATAATTGTGTCCCCCCCTCCCCCCCCCCCATAATTTTACTTAAATCTATGATTCAGGTTGGATGCTTAAAAAAATTTAGTGATTTTTAAATTTAATTATACATGGTTTGAAGCAATTCTTATTCTTTGTATTGTTATGCTTGTCACGATTAATATCAACAGAAAATATTAAAGATAACAGTGAGGGCTACATTGTTTCAAATTTGAATCCATGTAAATGCATAGCATCAATATAGTTGTTGGATGATAAATGAAATTGAAATCAGAGCAAATTTAGAAAGGTAGAATGAAATTTGAGTAAATCAAACGAAAAATATAATTTTGATGCTATTAAATAAACTATACGTCTCTTAATACTTTCAGAATTATTGTGAGATTCAAAAAAAGAAAGTAATTACTAAAAAATCATAATAACAAGTGAATAGCTGAAGTGTGTTATTATTATTATTATTTTACTAAAACTTGTCATTATAAACTACTGAATTGTTATAAGACTTTATAGTAATTATGTTTCTCTTTTGAGCCTTATGGCAATTCTCCCTTCCCATTTCTTCTCTCCTATAAACCCTTGCCACAAAACCGGTTTGGAAGGCGTCTTTGACTGTAAAAAGCACATATGAATTGGTTTTCGTTAAAGTTGATGATTATAACAAATCAACGACAAAAGGTATAAAAATAAATAAAATGATTGTATTGAAATATATTTAAACTATAGGAATTATTTTTTTTTAAATGGAATTAAAATAATACGGACAGTAGAAAAAAATAAGAAAGGGAAAGAAGGGGAAGAGGAAAAGGCCAAGAGGTAATTAAAAAGGGAGAATAATGTTGAAAAGGTTAGATTGACAAACACCAAATCAACGTCCCCTCATTCTTTGGCTTCAAGCACTTGGCTGCCCAATTTCAAGCTTCAACCACTCTTTTGGATGCTTCTTTCTTGTTTCAACCACCTGGAATTGCCTCCTCTATTCCATTCTTTTCACATTTTTTTTTCTCATCCCCTTCTCTTTTAATTTACTTGGGCTTTACTACATTTATCAAACTAACTGACTGATCCACTAACATATTGGTTGGGCCCAAAGGCCCAAAACAACACCCCTGTAGGCCCATTTAACATTGCCCTCTTAACTATTTTTACCAAATTAACTAAATGCAAAAGATTTCTACAACTCCCTAAAATCACCCTTTAAAAAAAAGTCACTGTTGAAGCTAATGGAAAAGAGTCATAAATGTGTGATTTAAACTTGGTAAAATATCATATAATTGTAACCCCAAAAAGAATCAACTGTTCCCTTTTTTGTATCATTATCCTTTTTTTGAAGATTAAAAAAACGGATTTAAATCTAAAATACATGTGTGTGGAATTAGCATGTTTATCGGAGTACAGTTGGTTCTGGTTCTGGTTCTGGTTCTGATTCTGGGGTGTGAATGGTGAAGTGGTGCATGAATCTGAATGGAGGGAGCAACATGATAATATCACGTTTTGAGAACGCTCATTATTGCGCATGCACTCATATTAGCAGGCAAATTTGATAGAGACCCGACATGAACCTTAGAACACGAAAACATTTTTGGGGGAAGAAAGAACATACTAATTCAAAGGCACTTTGATCTCTCCATTTGAGAAAGGCTTTTGCAACCCCGATATGGAATGCTCTCAATTATGCAGTGAGTCTGCTTTTAGATTGCGATAAGGTATTTAATGCAACACAATCTGCTCATTTGATCACAATAAGAATAACAAGGCAGTCAGAAAGTCAAGCACCAGATTTGAGCTCAGATTTTGGAACCTGCTGGCTCGCATTTGGGCCTGAGTTTTTCCACTTCCATATAGCACAGCACTAGGCTTTAGAGCAACCTAACTCATTTTTATTTTTCAAAGATAGTTATTTGGTTCGATGTATTACCAGACGCTAAATGTGAATATTTCTTACAGTGGGACTCTGAACCCAGTTCATGATATTATGAGAGAAAAGCTCTTTTTGTTGGATTTAATTTCTACTAGTCGTTGTTTTCTGACGTATGTTCTAATGGCGTGAGATTAACATCATGATTGAATTCTTTGGGCTATAAACTCATTGATAACTCCTTACTTCTTCTAATTCTTTTGAACCGTTTAAAAAAAAAGAAGAAGTATATTTTAAATAATGATTTAAACAAATAGTAGTAGAGACTTGGATTTGGATCATCTCATAATCCTTCTTTCTTTTTTCCCCCCTTAGAATCTCATCTTTATTGTTTGATCAAATAATAGATAGTTTAGATTTAATATTTTAAAAAGCAGATGTCCACCTTCTCTTTCCTGTTTATGTAATGTTATAATAATAGTTTTATAAAGTACGAAATCTGAACCATTCATTATTTGATCTAATAGTAAAGATCAGATTTTTAAAAAAAAATCTGGGAGAATCCAAACCCTAGAAACTGTATCCCTTAGTGAGCTTACTTAAATGAGAATTAATTACCTATTTACTCTCATTATAAATGCAGAAAGTGTCAGAGCGGGCTCTAAAGGAAGCGATCATGCTTTGTTGTTCCATTTATGACATGAGCATCGTCCCTTTAATTGTATCTATCTGTGACCTTTTAGGACCAGCATGAGGCATTTTAAGAGGCCTTTATCCGCATGATCACACCCTTGAAGGCCACGTAAAGTTTAGGTCAAAAAGGGGTCTTACAAAATTTTATGGTTGATAAAATTTTTGATTAGTGCTTTTCTAGCTGTTGGAAAAAATTTATCTGTCAATAATTCCGAGTTAAAACATGTTATTTTTTATTTATTTTTGAATAATTGATGTACTTTATTTTTTTTTCTGAAGATAAAAAAGGCCTAGTGATGATTACTTTTCTCTGTACCTTCATGGACCTGTTAGCTATTGACCGATTGCCTACAATGATAACGTTGGAAGATTGTTCCAAACGGACTTATGATGACATAATCAACTGCTTCCCCAATTGAAATCCTCGTTTAAGCCGTGCTTATCTTATTGACTAAATCTCTTCGAAATCTTATGGATGACTTGACCATTCCACAACTTGGACTGCTTATAACTAATCACCTAAAGATTTATAACAGCTACGCATAAAAACGTGGACGTGTTAAGTCGATAATGCTTAAATTTAGCCTAATGGTACTATTATCAGATAACCATATTCTTAAAAAGGTGTGTAGTGGGACAAAAATTAACCTTCATTTGAACAACAAAAACCAAGCATTTTATGTGTAGTTGGAAACATTCTCTTAAATTTTGATAAATGTGTCACCTCTTGTTTTTAATATAACAGCTAAATTATTAATTTACGGATATTAAAAAAATTAGTTATTTATAATATATAACTTTCAGTTCTATTTATAATATCTTGATTATAATTTACGAATAATATCTTATAAATAAGACCAGAAATAATAATAAATGAATGACGTCTTTTTTAAAATATTCTTAGTAATTATGTCTATAAAAATAAAAAATATTTAACATATATAATTATTATGAATAATATTTTTAAAAAATTGAATGAGTATAACTTACAAATGAGATGACATATTACGTAATGGTGTTTTTGAGCAGGAGAAAAAGGGGGAGGAAGAGACGAGGAAGGTGATAGGAAAAGGGAAGGATTACGTCTGAAAGATGAAAAGATGAAAAGATGATTCCATTCCAAACACACAATTGATGGTGAACATCAAAAGTTGAGCTTCTCTCCACATATATTCACAAAAACCCCACCCCGTTGGAATGGGCCCCCCTCCATTTTTGTTTTTTAAATTTGTCCTTTTCCCTCTATACTTGAAAATTTTCTGATGCAGTTTTTGGATAGTTATGATTCTTTTTTATTACAAATGTATCTCTTGCAATTAAAGTGATGCAGAGTTTTTTCAAATAGGCTGCAAAAATACTGGTTTGCCCTTCATCAATATAATTAATCATCATCTAATTGACAGTAATTAATTATGTATTTTTAATTTTTAATTGTACTTGCTAGCATTGTGAGAGAAAGCTGAGGAGGGAAATGTTACTAATCCGTCCCATAGGACTTCCTTCAACAACCAATTGTGCGTGGAGGACAAGTTTGATAAGAGAATTCAAAATGATATTACTATTATGAATATAAGATATAACTTTGTCAACTAAACTAAAATTTGTCGGCGTAAATGAATGAAGGAATTTTAAACTTATAAACGGGAATATGAAACCTCACTTGCATACCATGGGGGAAAATATCATATTTGGGACGAATTTAAAGAAAGAAATAAAGATAAATAAATGTTATAATGATGTGGCCACAGGTCAAAAGAGAGGCGGGTCAAATACCCCATTACCCATGAACTGAAAAGCAAAAGGACTGCAAGATCCCTACTTCCAATTGGTGCTTTTCTTATTGCGCCAATGGAGTGGGTGAAGTGATGGACGGGTGGCATTGTTGTTTGTCTTTGGTGCAATATGGGAATGCTCACACATTTTGCTCCTCCTTTTTTAGACCCTATTACAAATTTACATTATTCACTTAGAGCTTGTTCTGGACAGGAACAATTTTTTAATACTCTTCCGGTCTTTAATATAAGACCAAATTCTTGAGTTGGTTTTGGTCCTAAATATAAGACCCATTTATCATATTTATCAATTTTTTTTAAATTACCTCTATAAATACTCCCTCAACCATAATCAAATAGAAGAGGGAGAGAAGGTATTAAAAAAATGATTATAATGTTTTAGGGAAAATGTGTCATTTTTTTTATAATTAACTAACTTACCTAACTTCCTTGATCTAATCAAATTAGTTAAATGGGTCTTACATTAAGGACCGGAAAAGTAGTACTTATAAATATTTAGAGGATGTTAGAATCAAAACTAAACCATAATTTTAAAAGTAATTTTACAATATACAAAATAAATATGTAAAACAGTTTATCTCGATTTATGAAAAGAAAGTACTTTTTAAGGATATCCAGAAAATGTTTGGATAGAAGCTAAATCATACTTTGAAAAGTAATTTTACATAAATAAATATGTGAAGAAAGTTAACTCTATTTGTTAAAAAATACTCTTTAAAAGTATTTTTTTTAATAATTTTAAACACCCTCCCCCCCAAAACACCCCCTTTAATGGAAGGAGAGACAAACAGGCCGTTAAGCAGTGATTTCGAGAAAACGCTGTTACATTCACTATTATACTGCAAGGGAAATTGCAGAACCAAACGACTAAAATATTCGGACAAAACTACAGTGTTTTTAATTTAATAAGAAAAAATGGGGGAACATTCCCGTTAAAAACTTTATTTGTGAAAGGGGTTTAAATCAGAGTATTGATATGCTATATGTACAAAATTCACCTTCCGCATATAAAAATTTATCAAGTTCCCCTTATAATTTTCAGCAAGGGATTTCTTTTCCAATTTCTTTAATCTAACCTTTTAGGAGACTATGGTCCTTTGAAAGAACTATATGAACATAAAAGGATTAAAATGTCCTTTTCAGTTATCAGTTAAAACCAAAGTGGGGAAAAGCAACAAGAAAATTTGTGGGAGAGGGCGAAAAGAAGAGTGCCTCAAGAGCGAGCATAAGAGCGACGATAGTGGCCAAAAGCTTATGGCTTAATTGGTAAATCACACCTTTGAAGTTCCGCACACAATGTTCCTACGTAGGAACCAGTTATAAAATCAATTTTAATTTTAAATATAAGGCATCAATATATTTTATATATCATATTTATTAATTTTTTAAACTAATTTGTTTAACTTATAAATTAATATATTAGTACAATTAAATTGAATGTCACATGAGGATTAATTTTAAGGAGATTATTATGGAAATTTTGTTAGAATTAACTAATTGGTTTAGACTTTTAATCATAAAAGTTAATTAATTAATTTTTATATTAAAAAATTGACGACTAGCACTAAATATCAGAATAAATGGAAAAGTATACTTGGAATCAAGATTTTAGTATTTATCGCCTCTTCCTAAATGCACAAACTTTGTAAAAGTGACCAGCTACTTCCACCCAACCTACCATTTTAGGGGTTTAATTTTAACCTAAAACTTAGGACGCACTAAAGGACATGAGTGAGGATGAAGAAGACATGGGAGCCATAAAAAACTTGGGAGACACAAAGTGCCAGGGGAAAAGGCTCCTATGCAGAAAACAGGTGAAGCCCACGGTATGTGACTAGACAATTTGAATATTTTACCAAAACACAAGAATTAAAACCCATCACCCTGTGCTTCTTACTTATCCTAACCACTAGACATGACCTCCATTACCACTTAAAAATATTAAAGAGTAAAGTGGGACAAGACAAGGAGACAAATAATATTGTAAATAAATAAAAAAAGATAAAGGTGGGCTCGCAAACTGATTTTATTTTTTCAAACACACCAGTATATTATTTTTTTAATAATATATTTAATGTTCTGATTTTATTTTTCTAATGCTACATCTAGTAACCTGATATTATTTTTTTAATTATATCTAACGGGTATTGAATAAATTAAAAACAAAATTAGGGTGAATATTAGACGCACAAAAAAAATCAAAGTGTTTAAGCCTCCTAAAATATAATATAAATAATATCAGCCTATTGATATTTCAGCCTCTCGATGTACTCTTACCATGAAAAAAAAAAGTGGGGAAAAGACAGAGACAAGCGGTGAGCTCTTGGAAGCTGGAAGTATGAAAGAAAGCACCAAGATTCTGCCTTTTCATTTTTTTTTTTTCGTTTTATTTATTTATTTATTTATTTTGGGTGTGTGGGTTATCTTTTCAGTTTTCACTTTCCATCCACATCCTTATCGCCACCCTGTCTATGCCATCACCATCCTCCCCTCTTTTTCCTAGTGCTCTTCACCCTCCGGTAAGGGCGGCCTCCCGCGGTGTTTCTTTTGCTTCATTTGCCATATATGATGCCTGTGAATAATACAAAGAGCACAACCCTTCGTCAACCCGCTCTCATATCATCATTCATGTGAGGTTCTCAACTTTTTTTTAATCTTTATTTTAATATATTTCAATAATAATTTTAAGCTAATCTTTTTTTTTTAAAAAAAAGCTCCCGTTATATTCATTTAATCATTTTTCAAACACACCCTCAAATTTTGCCCTGCCAAAAAATTAAAACGAACACGAAAATGACTTGATCATACTTTTTGCGAGTGGCCTTTCGTCACGTGCAACGCGTAAGGGTGGGATCCCTCCTCCATGCTGGTCACGCTAATCAATCAAAGGAATTAATAAGTACTCGGGTGATTTGATCAGTGACGTCATAGTTTAAGCTTTTGTCTTATCTTTTTACTTAAAATATTATTGTCATGAGAGTTAATCCAATGAAATCAGAAAATTTTCAACATGACAAACTATTCTTCTGTTCCTTAATATAATATTTAGTTAACTAATTTAATTAGATTAAAAAAATTAGATAAGTTAGTTAATTATAAAAAACATGACACGTTTTTTCTAAAACATCATAATTATCTTTTTTAATACCTCTCTCCATCTTCTACTTGATTATTGTTGAGAAAGTATTCATAGAGATAATTTAGAAAAAACTGATAAATATAAGAAATGAGTCTTATATTTAGAACCAAAGTCAACTTAACAATTAGATCTTATATTAAGGACCGGAAGAGTAATACATAAATTTTTATTTAGACACTTACATTTAGAATTCAACAATGCCTTGTTTGAAATAAAAAAAAGTATTATATAAATAGAGATCAAAATTCACATGTGAGGTTTAAATTTACAACTTCAATTCAATGCTAGGTTTAAATTTACAACTTCAATTCAATGCTTCCAGATACAATATTTTGTGCGTACATTAATCATGATGCACGTGACAGTAACCCCACCGGCTAAGCGAAGAAGGGACATGGGAGTTTCTTGATGGTGGAGGAGAGGGAGTAGGTGATTACTGCCAACAGGCGAACATTGCTCGTCTACAATTTCCACGTCATTATTGATATTTATAATTGAAAGTTCCTCCATTGGCTGGCGTGGTTTCGGGGAACGGGGTTGGGTCAACTTTTCGGAAGAGGCCTGAATCCACAAAAAAAAAAAAAAAAATCCAATTAACTGCCCACGAATTCCCCACAGAATTTCAATTATGCCATTCTCGTCCGAGTAGCGCCCAGAGCATCTACCGCCTCAATCCGCAGGGTCTCGCACCCGTATACGTGTACACGGTGTCATTGACCCCCGCAATTATCCCTTGCCTCATCCTTATTTAGAAAAATTAGTAAAACGTTTCTGAAAAATTATTAGCACCTTATAAAATTTTATATATAAAGCTACTTAAATTTAATTCTTTTTATCCATAAAATTTTCATTGATTTTTCTTATCGTTTTTTTAATTGGTTGACCGAGTGTCTTTTTTCCTTGTTCTTTGGTCACGCATTTATGACATAAGGTTGAATTCATAACCTCACATACCAATCATATTTTTTGAGGGTTGATATTGCAATCTTATGTTTAATATCAACATTTTTTATTTATTTTGACACTGCATGTTTAACTTCAACTAAAAGAGGCACTTGATGCCACTAAATTAGAAGATCCTACCTCTGCGACCACATTTTGAAGCCAATAATTATTTTAAGGAAGAATTATTATGACATTTTAATGAAGGAATTTAATTAATAAGAAGCTCTAATAATAAGACTCCTCCGGTCCTTAATATAGAACTTAATTGTTGAGTTGATTTTGGTCCTAAATATAAGATATATTTCTCATATTTATCAATTTTTTTAAAATTACCCCTATAGATACTCCTTTAACTATAATTAAGTAGAAGAGAGAGAAAAGGTATTAAGAAAGATTATTATGGTATTTTAGGAAAAACATGTCACATTTCTTATAATCAACTAACTTACATAACTTTCTTAATCTAATCAAATTAGTTAAATAGGTCTTATATTAAGAACCAAAAGAGTAATAAGTAAGCAGTATAAATTTATTGTCATTGCATGCTTTCTAATTGTTAACAGACTGTTGGATGATTAATCATTTTCTTCTGATGTCATAGTAATTCTTCTTAACTGAGTTTGTGGTTAACAAATTGTGTCATTTAAATCTTAATGAGGGTTTTCTAGATTTTGTTATCATTATGTTGCCAAAAAAAAATACAAAAAAAAGTTTGACCAATAATTTAGAGGGTAATATCGTGTCTCCATATTAATTAAAAAAAAAAAAACCATCATGCACATGGAGGACGATAGTCTGCTACTTCTATAAACACGCCAATTAATGATGAAACAGTACGGCTGTGGTTGATAAGAATATCAGAGCATATCAAATAACAATAATAATAAAATTAATTGATTTTGATTAGTGTGGGAAGCTGACACTTGGTCAGATAAAAGAAAAAAAAGGCGACAAAACTAAAAATGTATGAGTATAAGCAGAAGACGAGTAGACAGAACGCTAGGCGACAAGTTTGAATTTGGTGTACATCATAATATGCCTAATACTTAAATATAAGTGTTAGTTTGATTTTTATTTTAATCGTAAATATAAAATTTTAATTTATTTTTTTATATTTATCTATTTTTTTTAAAAATAATCTTCATAATAATAATAGTTTTAATCAATACACTTGATTAACAAATATATTTTAAAAAAAACAATTGTTCCGCCCCACATGAAACTTGTGGTTGGTAGTGAAACACCTATTCTCCTGTTGAGACCTAATTCAATCTTCGTAGATTTCTCAACCAGATAACTAATTTAACTAGTTTTTTTAATCTACTTAAATTAATCAATTAACTCTTATACTACCTCTGGTCCTAATTATAAGACCCAGTTGACTTATTTGAGGAGATTAAGAAAGTAAGTTAAATTAATTATTTGTAATAAATAAGTGTTGTTATTCCTAAAATATCCTTGCTAATTAAGTATATTGGCTAGAGCTATCATTATTAGAAGGATTATCTTGGAAAAAAATACATAAATATAAGAGATAAAATGAATTGGGGTCTTATAATTAATTAGGACCAAATAAAAAGTCAAACAGGGTCTTATAATAAGGACCGGAGGTAGTATTAAGAACCAACAGCAATACTAGATGTTTATTGTCACGATAACAATATGAATCATTTAGATCTAATTAATTTAAACTGTTTAGATTGAAAAAATTAACTTTTTTGAAATTAAAATCTCTCAATTTTAATATCGTTTACATTATGTGTGCCTTTAAAAATATTGATTTAAACTTTGAGTCCAAAAAAAAAAAAATATTGATTTAAACCGTTGAATTTTAACCTGTGCCAGTGCTCATACTTAACCACCTCATGTTTCGACTCGGCTAAAAATTTTCTATTCCAAAACATTAGTGACATCGAAGTCGATCTTTCCAATAATGTTGCATAAGCCAATAACGCTACTTTATTCTCCTATCAAATTCATATTTTTATATTATATGTGAACATTGATTTAGAAATTCATTAAACTATTTGTACATTGCATCTTAAAAACTATTTATACATGAAACATGATGAATTTTGGAGTTGCAAGCAACGCAGTCTATATTTTAAACTTATATTAAATTAACATTACAGTCTCGTGAAAATATTCAATTGACTTAATCATTTATACTCTTAAAAGATACTTAGCTAATCTTAATAGATTAAAGACGTGGATTAAATTATTTATCTATGACAAATATGATATGATTTTTTTAAAATAGTCCTAAATAAAATTATACTATAGTTTTATTTATAATTCACTTTCAATAAGTTTCACTAGAGTTAAGATTTAAAACTCATTAATTCCATACAAAAATTTAGTATGTTTTCAACTCTGTCCCCTTTAAATATATACACATGATTTATCCAATTGGCCAATTTGGATATCATGCATAACATTTAATAAGGTTAAATAGGTAAATTTATATTTTAAAAAAGTTAATGGTATAGAATAATCATTCTCTCCATGTCTTATAAACAGAAGTAAAGAAGTATTAATTTATAAATTAAATAAATTAGTTTGAAGAAAATGATAAATATGATAGACAAAATAAATTAAAACACTATACTACTTTGGCTCATAATATAAGATTCAAATTGACTGATATGGAAATATTAAGAAATCTTAATAACTCAAATCCTTAATATAAGATCCAGTTGACTAAATTGAGAAAATTAGTAAACTATTTTTTTTTGGTGATAAACTATTTTGTTGTAACATATATATGTTATATAATCTATCTAAAATACTTATTCATATCATTAGATTATATATCAATTTATAAGTAAGGTAAATTAGTTTGGAGAAAAACTATAAATATAAATACTTTAAAAAAAGTTAGCAATTTTTTTAATTTTCTCAAATTAGTCAACCATATCTTATATTAAAGACCAGAGATAGTATTTTAAAATATTTATATTTATTTTTTTTAAACTAATCTAATTGATTTGTAAACTAACATATAATATAATAATATAAAAATATTTCAAAATCATCATGTAATGTACATCATAATTAAGTATTTTACTTGATTTCCTAGTATTTAGAATGAAATTCAACCTTCCAAGTACTTTCGATGCTGAACACATGAGGGAATGCCGGAGTAGTATTTAATTAAACATAGTGATTGATTTGGTTGGCCAAGGAACTCATAAAAACATTTAAATGTAAATTAGTTGATAATATGTGAATTGGTTTGTTTTATGAATTTGCCTGGAAAAAAAGACGCATATAATTTTGGTTGAAAGTCATTTACTCGGCAATAGAATATTCTAACTTGTACCACACACTCGGATTGGAGGAGCTGACTTGGAGTCGCTGTCTTATCAGCGCCGGGCACCCAAAGCAACAAAGTCAAGTGTCGCGTAGGGTCAAAGTTGTAATTAAGCCTAATTCGTTGGGCATTTGTCGCCGGTCTTTCACTCGGACAGCTCAAAATCATTTCATTATAAATCCACTCAAATTCATCGTTTCAGAACTCCAGTGACGGCTAACACAACTTCTTCTTCTCTCTCTCTTTCTCTCTCTGCTCTTCAAGCGCCTGTCCTCCGCACAATCGCTACACTGAACCTGACACTATACAGATTTTGAGGTGCGCCTTTCCAGAATTCCCTCTCTGTCTCCGTTTTTTTTTTCCCCACCTTCTGAAGTCGCTGGTTTTGTGAGCTGTGGCATGTATGATCTATTCTTCTGGACTTGTCTGATTTCTTGTTTTTCTTCTGGTGTGTACAAATCTGGATTTGCTTTGAAAAAATGAAATTTACTAATTTATTAGTTCATGTTCTAAAGAAGAGAGGTGGCTGGTCTAGCTGCTGTTGTTGTTTTTTCTTTGTTTTTGAAGTTTGAAAGCCTGCTTCATCTTCCTGGGGAAAGGCTTTCAAATGAAGATCCAACATCTTATTTCTATATCTCACAGTCTGCGAAGAAACCCGGAAGATGCTTGTGTTTCGTTTTGTTTTGAATTTGAGCCCTTTCCTTTATGAACAATTTCTGTTTTGGGTGTTTGTCACCTTGGTTTACGATTGGCATAAGCGGAAAATAAATCAAGAAATGTTTCTCTTTCCTTTTCAGCTTTGATAGCTGAAGACTCATTTATTTGACACAAAACTGTTTCTTTCTCTCTCTCCTAAAAAGTTGAAGAGTTACGTATTTGGTTGGTGGCTCCGGTTGATTTATATCTCTTTGGGATCTGTGATTGTACTCTTTTGATTTCCTAAAATTCCGCAATCGTCTTCTCCCGTTTTTGGTCCCCGGTTACTCTCTTCACAAGCCAGATGCTTTTAATTCTTGGAGAGCCATTCTGTTCTGTAATTACTTCTGGAGAATATGAGAAATGTAAACTTGAGTTTATTTTATTTCTGATCACTCGCTCTATACCTCTTTTCCGATCTCTCTAGTCTTTAGAATCTACCAGTTCTAAAAGTACGAAGCTTGCTGGTGATAAATTTTTGAGGGTTTAGGCTTTAAATCCGCGAGATATGAGGGAGTTCATTAGCGAGACTGTCATAGGATTCTCAATTCTTCATTTGTATGTCATGGTGGAATCTGCTTTTCTATGGCATCTGTGCAATTTTATTAGATCTTCTGTCAAGCTGGTCTAATTTTTAAATTTTCCCTTCTCTCCGTTCAATCCACGTGAAAGCTTTATTAATAGTTTATTCTTATTATGAAGATTGAGTCTCTTCAACACTCTCCTGGACGGTAGGTGCGAATAACTTCTGCCGACAAATGAAGCATCTTTCATCTTTTCAATACGCAGATTGATTAATCAGCGAAACTGCTTAAACTAGCTTTTCACATCTTCTAGACGAGTGATTTGAACAATTGACTTGTTGCGGACAACCTTCACCATCAGAGTTCAGAAGGTTGACTAGTCCTTTCCCAAGTAGAAAATCAACCTGTTTTAGATGCAAACAACTCAGAAACACCCGAGTTCAGTTGGTTTCCATCTGTATCACCAGCCGATGCAAGACACAGGCACATGCCATTTGTCTCATTGCCAGATTTTGCCAAGCAATTTATATAATGAAATCCCTGATGATAGCAGCCAGGGAACCACAGTTTCTTTTGAAAACTACAACCAGCAATACTTTACCCTTGAATCATCCCTACCGCCACCTCCTGGTCCCATAACCTGTGATTCCTCTTCCTTTGCTAGCAATTCATCTAATAGGAGTCCTTTTTCACCACAAGGTTCTCAGACTCAGTCGTCCCTTTCAGATCCGCACCAGTCCCAGGATAACACCTATGGATCACCAATCAGTGGGTGCTCTAGTGTTGATGGTGGTAATGAATTGAAGCACAGACTCAAGGAATTAGAGAATGAATTGTTGGGACCGGAGTCAGATATTGTTGACAGTTGTGATTACTGCCCCGACGGCGGCCACCAGCAAACATCTCCGATGTCTGGATGGAATTGGGACCAGATTGTAGAAATGATTCCTAAGCTTGACTTGAAAGAAGTCCTCATTGCTTGTGCACAAGCTGTGTCCAATGGCGATTTTCAAACCGCAGCAGGATTCATGGATAAAGTATTAGTGAAGATGGTGTCAGTTTCTGGGGATCCACTTCAGAGGTTGGGAGCTTACATGTTGGAGGGGCTTAAAGCGAGGGTGGTATCAACTGGGAGTGCCATCTACAAATCTCTGAAGTGTGAGCAAGAACAACCCCCAACGAGCAAAGAACTGTTAAATTACATGGGCATTCTCTTTAGGATTTGCCCATATTGGCAGTTTGCTTACACATCTGCAAATGCTGTCATCCTAGAAGCAATGCAAAGTGAACCCAGAATTCATATAATTGACTTCCAAATTGCACAGGGCACCCAGTGGAAGTTACTAATTCAGGCTCTTGCACAGCGGCCTGGTGGGCCCCCATGCATTCGGGTAACTGGTGTTGACGACTCCCAATCATTTCATGCTCGAGGTGGAGGGCTTCATATTGTAGGACAGCATTTGGAAAATCATGCCAAGTCTCTTGGAGTGCCGTTTGAGTTCCATAGTGCCGCCATGTCTGGCTGTGAGGTTCAACTTGAGAACCTAGGAGTTCAACCCGGGGAAGCGATTGCTGTGAATTTTCCTTATGTTCTGCATCACATGCCTGATGAGAGTGTTAGCACAGAGAACCACAGAGACAGGCTATTGAGATTGGTCAAGAGCTTGTCACCCAAAGTTATGACCCTTGTTGAGCAGGAATCCAACACCAACACTTCTCCCTTTCACCAAAGGTTTGCTGAGACACTAAATTACTATACAGCCATGTTTGAATCAATTGATGCGGGGAGCTCTAGCAGAGATGATAAGGAGCGGATTAGTGCAGAACAGCACTGTGTGGCTCGAGACATTGTCAACATGATAGCTTGTGAGGGGACAGAGAGGGTAGAGAGGCATGAACTTCTAGGAAAGTGGAGGTCAAGACTTTCCATGGCCGGTTTTAAACAACACCCGTTGAGTGCCTCTACTACGGCTGCAGTCAGAAACTTATTGAAGGGTTTCAAAGAAAAGTACCGTCTTGAATATAGAGATGGTGCTCTCTATCTGTTTTGGATGAACAGAGCTATGTCCACCTCTTCTGCTTGGTGGTGATTTTGACTGCTTCATTGGGACTTGTACATTTTCTCCTGTTTCTTTTCTCCCCTCTCTTTTGAGCTTTAGCATAAGTTAGTTGCATCAGCAGAATCTTCATAGGACTTACTCAAGGTTAATCTTTGATGCAACATTTGTTGTACTAATCTCAGAAGTTGCTGTAAATGTCAAATGCTAGAACGGTTAGTAAAAGAAACCTCCAATTTTAACTTCTTGTCACTCTTCATAGGCATTAATCCAAAAGGATATGGATATAAGGGGCTTAATCTACTGCTATTGGATCAATGCTACTTAATACTGCTGTTTGTTTTATTTATCGTTTTCTAATGATTACTTGATTGACATGACTCTTCAAGAAAAATTAAAGATGATAACGAAGTTCATCTTTGGTCATCTGAATTGCAGTCTTAAAACACGGATCAATTTTGAGAGATCCATGTGGACCACAACGTTGGATTAAAAACAAAAAATTCAAATCCCCACTCTTCACGGTTGTCATGTTCTTGGCCTGTTATTGATCCAATTTTGTCAGTATGCTTGAAATTAAATCATATCATTGCTGACTAAGCGGAATCAAATAACGCATAAAATTGTTCAAGAATTTTATGCAGGCAAATTCTATGAACAGATAAGTAAATAAGAAAAGACCTAGGTCTCCTGCATATTTAAAAATTGGGAAAAAATTGTAGGTACTAAGTTTAAATATTTCACCTACTAATTTTGTTTAAATTAGGATACATAGATTTGTGAAGCACTAATTTTATTATCACTAATTATTTACATTTATACTTATTTATAATTTAAGAAAGAAACTTTTAAGTTTATAAAAATAAATTTAAGAACCTAATTTTTTTAAAAAAATATTAAAGGGCCCAACTCTTAATTGGCCTAGGATAAATTCCTTGGAATTGGATGCACGCCAATGGGATCCTACGGGCTGAATTAATTTTTTTTTTTAACAATAATAAAATTTAAATTTATAAAACTATAAGGGTTAAAAATATGTGTATACAACTATATGGGCCTGCCCTTTCTGTGGTAACAATGGGCCCCCTCGATAAGCTGGACTGACCCAATGAGACACTTCCTTGTTTCTTCAAAAACCCTACTTAGGGTTTTTTCATGATCGGCCGCCGAATCACAATCGCACCTCCTTCAGTATAAATATTTGGGTATTCTCGGCGGTAATCATATTCTAGGGTATTACGGCATCCCAAAGCTAGCTTGTCCATTTCAGTTTCAGCTATTGAAAATTCTCCTCCCCGTCTCCTCCTTCTCGTCTGAGAAGTGACTGAGGTATACTTCTCGCTTTTCATGCATTTGTTTCTCTCTAATCTTCAGTCGATCCTTTGTTCTTCTTTTGCGACGGGGGAGTTGCTCAAATCCTTAACTTTATTTGGGGGCAAACGATCTTGTGTTTGCATATTCCCAAGTTAACGTCGCATACGAATGTTCGTCGACGTTGACGGATCTCTCACACGGGAGATTCTCCGTCGATATTGTCTCATATTCCATCGCCTTGTGGAGCAGCGTTGCTGCCATTACTTCTTGGGACTGGCCATGAGACATACATAGTATTTTTCCTTTTATTTTCTTGGTTCTTAATTCTGTTTTGCAATTCCGAGGTTCTGTTGACTTGTTCTTATACTTTGTTGGCCTGGTGACTGGTGTTGTCTTGCAATTTGTAGTCTCAGATTGGTAAATTTAATTCCATGCTCCTCCCTATTTGGGGGGCAAACTTTCTGTGTTGGCATGGTTCCAAAATATGTATAGCCAATGATGAAATCAATTATCAAAACACCATCTTTCGGGACTGAATGGCTTCTAAGCCTTGATGTTATTCTGCAATTCAGAGGCTATTTACTTTTAGAACCTTTCGTGTAATGTGTTTTCTTGGAGAGCTTGCACTTGTTATTATGCATCCAAATCCTAATAATCAACATCAACTTATCATTCAGCTAATTAGACATTGTGTCATGCAAACTAGGACAGAAAGCCTGTTTCTACACAACCGTGGATGCGTTCCCGTGCGTTCAAATGCCGTTTCTATTTTAATTTGCTTTCTAGTTCATCCTCAAGCTCCGTCCTTTCTCATGCTTATGAAACGTGAATTTTTGTTTTGTTAGGTGTTTACACTATTATGTTTGAAGATATAACGGTTGAGCCAGTGGGGACTTTTAGCTGCATCCAAATTTTCACAATAAAATGCATTTGCAATGCTGCACCAGAAGAACTGTTTCGAGAAACAGGATCCGGCGCAGCTTTGTAAATGCATTCGAATGTGAAGTTTTAAGATCATTCGTTTAGTAGCATGTATTCGATTGTGCTGCTGCTGGTCCGGAAGACCTTTCCTTATAAGGAGAACCTTGAGCCTTTCCTTTATAAGGAGGAGATTTCAATGGCACTAAGATGGTTTTGCATGGTTACACGAAGGTTTTGTGTGGAGGTAACATTGTTGCTGAATTTAGTCAGTACTTTCGTGTTGGTAAGGAATCTTGCACGCGGTTTCACTTATCTTAAATTTTGTTTTGGTTATGACTCTGTTTCTATGCTGTCATCGAACACCCCCCCCCCCCAAAAAAAAGTCATTTGACCCCTTGAAAATAGGTGCTGCAGTGACCAGCAAATTGAGGGAGACAATTACTGTAGCTTCTTGTTTAGACCTTTCTTCTATTGGTGAAGGAATCGTGCTATTTTGATAAAAGCAAATATGAGAAGAGTTTTGTCTAAAGCTGTGAGGGCTTCTCAGAACCTGGTTTCCGAACATGTTGAATTGCTCACCATAACCTCTTTGCGACAACGCGGTCTCCTGTGGACCTTGGATGAAAGGGTTTATTACCAAAAAGTGGGTGGACACAGTTGGTGAAAGGTTTGAAACACGGATCGTCACTTGGTGAATGGCTGCTCACGAATTTCAGCGCACTATGGGAAGGCAACGGTTAAAATGTATAAACTGAAACAGGTGTGTTAATATTAGATGTTTTATTGGAAGAAGTGATACTTGTCCCATTATAGCCGGCAGTTCCTGGTTCAAATGAGCAACATACGTGGTCTGGCTATGGGCTTGAAGGGAGGCGTAGCCGTTATAAAATTTAATTGTATTTGTACACACTACGGAAGTTTCACTGTATTTTCCTTGTTTCTTTAATCGGTTTAATCCTAAACGAATCTGTGAGTGTGAAGTCACGATCTGTTCACAATCTACCGATAAAGGAAAATAATTATCTCCTATGTTATGATACGAATGTGAAGTCACATCTACCCAGCTTTATTAGTGTTCTTTATTGTTACAGTTGGAAATTTCACAAATCAACGCGGCAGAGGGCTTAATGCGTCTCTAAGAGATACTCCCTTTTTCTTCTTTATTATAAGAGACAAATAACTGATACGTTAATAAAAAAAACAGTTAAAATTAGTTAAGAATAATTAATGTGTAAAAAGTATAATTTTTTTTTCTAAAAATGCCTTCATTAATAAGGAGAGAGAGTATGAGAGAGAATAATTAAATTATTAAAAGAAAGAGAAGTGGAAGGGAGAGAATGTGAGTTAGAGATAATAAATATAGATAATAGGAAATCAACACAAAAAAATAGAGATAACTTT